CTACAGACAAATGGACCTGCTGCAAACTCCAAATGTTAAACAAGCCACTAGCTCCAGTAATTGTTCTATTATCGAAAAGCTCGGTTGTAGACAATTTCCACCAGCTGCCTAAAAATTGATGATTTTGAATTTGATTGGTGGTTTTTGAAGTGTTAGTTCAGATAATAGCATCATCCTGTACTTCCTGATCTTTTACTTTATATGTTATGTATGGTGGTGCTTTAGGCATAAATATTTGATATTGAATTTAATGTAGTACGAATATTAAAGATGAAATATAATTATTTGGTTTTTTTTACTCTAAAATAGGGACAATATATAGTATAACTAAGAGTTGAGATAATATAACTCTAACATCCTAGTGCACTACTGTAATCAACTTTCCGGCTTTTCCTCAAGGCGTGTAGTGTTACTTTGGAGTTAATATAACTAAGAGTGAACGTATGCTGCATTATTGGACTTTGATGCCTATTTGTAAACAGAACTAGCTCTTGTAGCTCAGTTGGTTAGAGCACCCGTTTAGTAAGCGGGAGGTCTTGAGTTCGACTCTCAACAAGAGCAAATTTATAGTACTTAATTTTTATTTCTTCATCCTACCATCCATCCCACTCTCCCCTTTTGTTTTGGCTCACTCATCCATCCCACTGCTTCTGCCTAGTCCTGCTGCATTAACGCACACACACACACACACACACACACACACACACACACACACAAAGAAAAGAAATCAGGGAGTGGCGGCAGTAGTCTCTCGCCACAAGGCACAAGCTGTATGATGCATTTGGGAAGGCGGATATAAAAATATCGACGACAGCCAACAACAGATTTTTGGCAGTCATATATAATTGAGAAAACCGAGTTCACTCTTGTCATCCACAATGCAGAGGCCGAAATTGCTGCTGAGGTCCATAACTCCCATAAAAAATGCAAAACCTGAGGTCCTCAAGTAATCGTTAATTATACGTTAATTCAAATCAAATGAATTTTGTAACAAATTCGTTTGTAACAATAAATTTCGTGCATTGAATTTATTATAAACACAAAAAATATTTTACAAATTATTGTGGATTACAAATTTCTATTTTTCTCACCTGATTCTTATCACGAACAATTTTAAGTCTTAGACAAGAAATGGTGTCTTAGTTTGACAAGAACCCTCGCTGTTTGTGGGACTTCAAGGGTCTGTGGCCTTGGCGCTCGCGTCGCACAGTCCTCTCTCAGGTCGAGTACTGTGCCGCCGTTTTGTACTGAAGCCTCTACCTCGGCGGGCCATTTTCGGTGTCTTAGCCGCAGCTCCGTCGTCCTCTTCAGGCTGGTAGCCTCCTGGCAGGCCGCCGTCGGGCCGGGTCTCCTCAGGGTGCGCGAGTTTGGTGCTTAGGCGTTGCTTTCGGAGATGTGCCTATCCCTTCTGGCTCTCTTTCTCCCTCGATCAGTGACTTCAGTCTTTTAGATCTGGACTAAGGTTTGCCTTCCCGCATATTCTATGTAGCCGCTTCCGTGGAGTTTTTAGTTTTGAGGTCCGTTTCTGCCGCGCTTTAGGTCCTGTTCGTGGTTTTGAGTAGTGTGAATTCTAGCTTAGTGCTCGTCTGGGTTATGCTATGGTTTGCTTGTGTTTGTTAGGGAGGCAGTAGTTTATAGATAGATTAGGTGTGTTAGTTTTATATTTTAGTGCGTATTTCTCCACTTGTTTGGAGTATTTAGTTCGTTGTTTTGTCTAGATTGGGCTCCAACATACCGATCACAACCGATCACAGTTGTTGATTCTCACTACAAATTGCCCGAACCCATTCCAATTGTTTTTGTTTGTCTATGGTGCTTCAATTAACATTCCTCTCGATTCCACCTCGTTAGTGCTTTTATAAGGGCTAGTTAGCCCTCTCAGATCTTCAATCTTCATTATAAAATTTCCCTTTTGAGGTTTATAAAATCTATAAAAAAGAAACAGGGCAGCTGCCTTGTTCAGATGTTTCAGAAAGTTTCAATACAGTTGCCAATGATGAGATTGACACATTTAACCATATGCAGACAAGGCAAAAAAAACCATCCACTTGTGATCAATAATAGGATTTACAGATGAGGCTGAACATATACAATCCACAAGCACAACGATTCTGTAACTTCAGACGAACTCCGTTTTTATCTTGTTACTAGTCTCTACCACCCAAATATCATGAACCTCTTGCATTAAAACCGATGAACTCAAACATTCTAAGAAAACATGAGTTACATAGAAGAAGACCACTAAAAATCATACTACTGTTTGATGTTCCACTTATGAGATGTCCTCGGTCCAGTTGCAATGCCCTCATAGTATTGGGGCTCGAGGTCTTTGTTATTCCATTCTTCCACAAACTCAGAAAATAGTTTGCGGGCAGATTCAGACGATAGATCTGAGAAAAATATCTTTTTCTCTTCTTTCAGCCATGTGGCAAACTCATTGTTCTTGGAGAAGTAGTCATCCTCGGACAGTTCTTGGATCTTCAGTTTCTGTAAGAAGATTACGAAAACTCAAAATTCACATACGACATGAAGTCAAAATCACATTTGACAACTGAAAAACAATCATACCCGACTACTTAAAGAAACCTGAGAAATAACTAAACGATGATTGTCATATTAAAACCATTTCTATAAAAAATGACAATGTCTACAAAAAACTGTTATTTTCCTATCAATACAAATCAACAACTGATACGACACATCGGATCGTACATATCAAAAACAAGGAAGCACGGACTATATTCTATACACTATTCCAAGATTTTTCTTTTTTTCTTTGGGTAAACAAATTCTAATAGTTCTTTAGTTCATAGAGTTTAGCAAGAAACTCACTGAAAGCTTCTCACGCTTGTGGCTTTTGTCCTTGTGCTTCCCGCTCGATTTCTTCTTACCTGAATCGATCGATCGATATCATCAGCATCACCCAATATTCAACAAGTCCATGCCGCAATATTACACGATTACAGCACAAAAATCTTAACTGAGTACAACATACCCCAAACTAACAAATTTTTCCCAAGTAAGAAACTAAAGCTAAAATTTATTCTGAGCACATGAGACTTAAAATGTACACCATTTTTGGGGCGAAAAATAAAAACTAAATGTACCTTTATCAGAACGTCGCTTGGAAATTTTATGAGATTTTTGCTTCGTCT